GTGCTGCTGTAACACCCCAAATGTTAGCAGATGTGCGACGTTCGCTTAATACTCGAATCAACAAATGTTTAGAAGTATGGAAACAATTTTGAACATTTATTACAATAAATTTTTCAATGCAAAATTTTGTATTATACTTATTTCATTATTCGCACCCATTCCTCAAAATTTCTGAATTTTTTATTCTCAAGGTCATAATGAAAAAAATATGTAGTCCTATTTAAAAAAGTATCGATGACCTTGAAGGCTCTAAAAATATGACCTTGAGAAAGAAATAAATCTCACCATAATGTGTATCCCTTCGAACCAAACAATTTCTTCCTCAGGCATTTTCGCGTATCATTAACGGTAACGGAGATATTGCCTTGTAACAGAGTTACTGGGACACCCTGTATATATATTACCGGATACTAATGATATTCGTATAGTAAAAAAGTACCGGATATTTTCCGGATATCCGATGAGTCCCTATCCCTAATTTTTATGCTAAAATCCGTTGACGACATGAATATCAGTTACATTTTGAAATAATCTCATGGAAATTGATAACTGATGATTGATGAATATTATTATTTGATTCTATAGCAGCGGAGTAAACGCCTGTTGTTTACTTCTATTCAGCCATAATAAACAGTAAACTGTAAGAATTTATAAAGGAGATATACACATCTAACGTATAAAAAGAGTTTACTTATCAAGAAAAAAAGCGCACATTGCGGAAAGTCTAAACTTTGCAATAGTGGTTAATTGTTGATGAATGCGTTGGACTTTATGACATGTGATGCTTGAAATATTAGACTTGCTGTGCAAGATAAAAATTGAGATACCATTGTAAATTGAAAAAAATTAGATTTACAGGAATATAACAAATGTACAGATATATGTTGTATGTACGTACGTATGTGGATGTAGGTAGTAGGATGTATGTATTGCTTATTAGCTCTGTTTATTTGTGGCCGGAAAACAAATTTTATCAAGAGAAACTGCGATAAAATTGTTATCATATTTTTCAATGACAACCTTTTTCTTTAGTAATGGAGAGTATATGTAGGAAAAAATCGCTAGCTATCCATTTCGTTTTAAATAGCTCTCTGCTGGTGCAATATCTTTTTATCAGTTTATAAGTAGCTGTGTGAAAAAAAGTAATGAACATAACTTTGAGAAAGACTATACAGAATTTCCTTGCATATGAGAGAACACATTTTTATTATAAATATATACAGACGTATCGTACAGACAGAAGAAATACATGATTTTTTAAATTTTTTTTCAGAGAAATTCTATGAAATTAGTTGAAATAATCGGAGTACTGCTACAGTGATGCAGATGAGTTTCTATAATTTTTTTTACATGCATGTCTGTATTAGGGCATATATCGAAATAATGGATGGATTCGAAATGGAGTAAAAATGCATATTCAAAATATATTATTAGAAATTATATATTTATGAACATGTAATTTCCAATAATGTATACTTATACATTATTGAATTATTTTATTAAAAATTCATAGTTAGGGTAATTTGTCAACATGTCGGGCACTTCTCACTAAAAAAGTGATATTTATATCTTAGAAATTTTGTATATTTTTATTAAAATATCATATATACATACACATGCATATAGGCGCACACATGCGCACGCGCCATCTTTAAAAATTATGATATTTATGCTTTCATAATTGAAAAGTAAATAAGACGATATGTTAAAGATAGATATAAGTTGCGTTTTGCGAGATATTTTATAAGCAGCAGAGACAATGTATCCACGATTGGGTTGCACTTTAGCTTAATAGAGAGAATACAGATTTTTAAATTTTTATCGTAAATCTTTATATTTAGAGAGTAGTATACGATTCATTCACCTAAAGAAAACAAAGTTACGTTTTCTATATTTAATTATCTTTTAAGAGTAAAAATAAATTTTACTCATATACATATATGTCTGCGCTTTTAATATAGCCATATTCATTATAGAATCGATAGAAGATAATTATTACTTTTTATTGTATTGTATGTTTCACGCATTTGCAATCTCTAAATTAATAATTCCTTTTTTAATTTCTTATAAATTTTACTTGTGTCTGCTATGATTAAATGGCATCTAATATAATGCTTACTGTACAAAAGCAATTTTAAAATAAGTGATAACTCTGCAAAATGTTATCTTTTAAGAGAAAATTTAAATGAAGTTAAGAGAGGGGGGGGGAGATTTATAAAACTTAACACACATATACATAAAAAATGACATGATATAAATTGTGAAAGTACATGCTATATTTACAACAAAATCTACAATTGGTTTTTTAACAGTTTGTCTTGTTTCATTAACAGTTTATTGGATTTTATATTCATGGAAAAACTGCATTTTCAATATTACAAGAATTGAGAAACGAAGCAATATTTTTCAGTAAAATGCAGGCTTCATCATTTTTACACATCAAATTGTACACCGACAGATCTTGCGCGTCTATGATAATATTCTCCAATATGATTTTAAGTGCTCGCAAATCAAACAAACAATGATTATATCCAAAACGATACTTATTAAAACTTATGACTTGACTCTTTTTTATCATAGCATGTAAACGGTTCTTAGCAATAAACGATATAAATTCCAGAAACTGTTTATAGTCCATGCCATAAGAGGTTTTTAGCATTAATTGGCAATGTTCATTCCAGTTCTTCATATCCTTGCAGTCGTCAACTTCTTTCATAACAGATCTTAATTCCTTTTTTAATGCACACCATACATTGGTGATATTACAGCCATTGATCCAATTGTGATTAATAGAAATTGTATCTTCCTTCACAAAAGACGACACATAATTAAATTACCATTAATATCAACAATTTAAATACTTCTTTTACGAAATTCTATTACTATTTACCAGATTCCAAACTTGATGATGCCATCCTGATGGCACAAACATGATCTCTCCTACTTCTTGAATTACATCAAAACATTTTAACTTTTCACTATCGTACATTTGATACTTCGTATGATCTTTGAGTTCCTCTGAAACTGCATCGTATACCAATTGCCCGTAAAGATCACGAAGGTGATCTTCTTCGTGCGGAGGAAAGAGCAACCATCTCTTTTTTCCGACAATATTTGCAGACCAGCTATATGATGTAAAAACATCCGCGTGCAATGGAGTCCTGAACATTATTAGTAGCAGTTAAATCAGTCTGTAGAATAACAATAATCAATACAGAAATAAGGATATTAAGTCACAGAACAATCTTGGCCGAGGTAACACTTCTCGCACCAAGTTATTTATAGATTTTTAAATGCTAACAGCGTCAAATTGATGATCTAATTTAATTTGGGGAGATTATTCCAGTTTAATTGTATTGCAAATCCAAGAGTAATCAGCTCGTAGTTATATATTTAAGATAAATTTATTTAAAAAGTACATATATATAGGTCCAGATAAACAAGCAAAATGTCTGCAATCTTCTAGCAGACTCAGCAGGTTCGAGCAGAAAATGACGGCAGTCTAGGGATGGGCGATGTACAAGAAAAGCATCGATTCTATAATAATCGATTATGATCCAATCCGAGTTTTAATTAACCGATTCATCGTAAAAGAAAACATCGATGTTGGTGAAATCGATGATTGAAAAAAAACTGATTTTGCTAAATTTTATTATTTTTAGAAATATATTGAATTATAATTTTTTAAATTATTTTTATCACAAAATAAAAGAAAAAATAGAGTACAATTTCATGTACCTACGAAAAACAATGTTTTTAATTATTTTTATAACAAAATAAAAGAAGAAATAGAATACAATTTTATGTACCTCCACAGAAAAAAAATTTACTTGTTTCAAGTAAATACATTTTCTTGAACTGTAATTTATTGATTGAAAGAATTAATTACTTGCCACAATAAATTTGTTTTTTGTTCCAATAAAATATTATTCTGAAGCAAATAATTTATCAATGAAGAAAATATTTTATTCTAATAAAAACACAATTACTTGTCAGTAGAAAATTGTTTTATTAAATCTAATAAATGTCATTACTTGAATCTGATTGTTGTTAATAAGAGAACATTTTTCTTAAATTTATGACATGAGTATTAGAAATCGTATATTGATTACTTTTTATAAAATATAATTTTTCAGAAGGCAATTTCTTGGTTACCAAAAATATTCTTCTTCTGATTTTGGCCAGGCAACCAAGGTTGAACTAGGCCATTGAGGTCTTCGTAATTGAGCTAATCGTGATTGGGGGTGCTATGCACCGGCCACCTCGAACCGGGCGAGTAATGGATGATGCAATAAAAAATGGTGAGGCGCCCCTTCAAACACTGGACGCCTGCGGCTACGACGCTTCCACGCCGCACGGCCGCGCGCCAAGACGGATAAAGGGACTATCGAAATTGAAATACAAGGCACAGTCCAACCCGGCAACGCTTTTCAAAAATATAGTCGAGGTGACGCAACACCCGAGACGAGAGGGAACACGTCCAACCCGCTCGAGTGGTCTACAGGAACTTAACGATACACCAAAAATATTTACTAGTAACAAGAAAATTGTTTCATAAATTAATTAAATGCCTGTTAGGGTGTGCCTCTCTAGTCTCTAATAAATTTAGGACTCTAGGGTAGTTATATCTTTGGGTAGATCAATGAAAGCCAACCATAATCGATGTCATTAAAAAAAAGATCAATGTGCCGATTAATCGAATTCTGAAACATCGAATCAAAAATCGATTATTGAGCGGAAAACATCGGTTTTTGTATAATCGATGAAGCGTCGCCCATCCGGCCCATCCCTACCGGGCAGTCTGCCATCAACTGCGTCCGTATTAGGCTTGTGTTCTGTTAATATCGCCCGTCGACATAATGTGAAGGCAATTGTTGGCAGAAACTGAGCAGATCCTGCCGATTCTGTTACATTTTTTGGTAATTATTCAGAATACCTCCCTCACCTCCGATTTCGATAAAATTAGGCTCATTCGACGCGTTTTTGCATGAAACGAAAGAATCTGGCAG